CCCCGATCAAAACATGTAGCACAAGCAAGTAAACAATAAATCAAGAAAGTCAGCTGTTGGTGATTTTAGTATCACCAGGTTCATTTTAGTGTAATGGAATTTACAGATTACCAATGGAATTCAAGTTTAATTTTAGACAAGTTAGGAGGTGCGGAGCGCACACTTGTACGAAATTAAATTTAAACTTGGTTCGATTAAATGGCGGGGGTCAAGGGGGCTGCGGCCCCTTGCGGGGTCCAAGGGGCAGCGCCCCTGGCGGGGTCCAAGAGGCAGCGCCCCTGGGGGGGGGTCTCGCTGCCCGGTCAGCGAGCGGGGTCAAGGGAGGCCGCCCTCGCGGGGCTCGGGGCAGCGCCCCGGACCAAAATTTTATTTTATTAAAGAAATAAATATGGAAATTTATTTTCGGATAAACATGTCCATATTAATTATTTAATAGAATGACTTTCTGTTAGAGTAAAACTCTAACTGATTGGCCTTATCTCTTTGGTAATCAGAAGAATTCGAGTTCTACTAAAACTGCTAGTTCGTGGTCTATAGATTGGTGCCTCATTTTTAGACTGTCTCTTAGAGTGATTATCTCCATAATCTAAATTTCGTGTAACCCGGGCATAGGGTCGAAATATTAGATTCGGAAAGTGATCACACGATACTCTGAGAAATCCGTCAGATTTTCTAAAACAGTTTCCCAACTCCCCAGTTTTAACATCAGCTGCTCCATATGATACAGCCGACGCCCACGCCAACACCAACACTCCATCTGATGAAGCCAAGCCGACGGCAAGTAGCACGTGTGTCGGTTCTGTGCACCCATCTTGGGCCACCGAACCGGACGATTTCACATATGCTCCAAGCACGGAGCAAGAGGAGACCCCGTACAACGGGGAGGACTTTGATGAAGAAGATGAGGATGACGATCCTCATTATGACCGTATGAGTGAGGTACTAGAATGGTACCTCGAAATAAGGCAAAGAGAGAGCAGCGGCGCCAAGCTAGACAGGCTAGGCAAGCCGTGAGACAGGGAAGCCGGGGGGCTTCTAGTGCTCCATCTGGGGCATTCAGTGGAGACACGATGGTACGTATCTCCAAGTACCTCAAGGAGACTAGAGCCTTGGGGTGCAAGTCATTTGATGGCAAGGGCGACATTTCTGAGGCCGCCGACTGGATTAAGAAGCTGAATGATGCTTCCAGGGACATGCAAATTGGACTCGACGTGAAGTTGAGGGTTGCCACCAGGCTACTTGAGGGGGTAGCTGCTGTGTGGTGGGAAGGCGTGGAAGGGAAGTTCCACGGTGAAGCCACTTGGGAGAAATTCGAAGTGGAGTTTTATATTCAGTACTACTCAACTTTTGAAGTCAATCTCAAAAGAAGGGAGTACACAAACTTGAAACAGGAGGATGGTTGCTGTAACACCCCGCCCCCCAGGACCCGAGTTAGGTACTCCAGACCTCTAGTACTGTCCTCACAAACCGCCACTAGCCTTTTCCGCACACTTTGTCCTCACTCATGCACGCCCTGAGAAACTTCTAAGGAGGGTCACCCATGCCAAGACGCTGCCCATCCTATTTTGAACCTTGCCTCTATGGACCTTGAGAGCTTGAACCTTGCCTCTATGGAGCCTCTTCAAACGCTGCCCATCCTATTTTGAAAACTGTAAAAATAAAGGGCGATCTTCACCACCCATTCCCCATTTCACAGATCAATGTAGGTATCGCAAATAGCAATGCCGTACAAAAGAGAACAGACGTGGGAGACCAGGAATGAAATTGTGCATCCATTGATCCAAACTAGCAACTCCCCAACTCGATCCATAGCACCACCCGTTTGAAACACTGACCAAAGACATCGAGCTACGAAATGGCATAAGCCGTCGGCCGGAGAGATTCCCTAGACGAAGCTAGGCCAGACTGCTTTTTTCACATAACCCAATCAAGCAAATCAAAATATAACTCACGCATAACTCGCGCACATATAGATGTAAATCACACATAAGAAAATGTAATTTGAGAACATCAAGATGTAAATCTCACGTAAGAAAATGTAATTACATGTATTATCAAATGTAACTTAAGGAATCATGTATAAATGTAACTCACGCATAGAAATATAAATCACACATATGAAAATGTAATCTCACGTTTTATCAAATTTAAATCAAAATAAACAAACTGAATGTCGTTAAAAACCACTAAAAACCAGTATAACATATAAATAGATAAAAATATACTTCGTATTATAGAAATAAATGCATTAATATGAAAAATATATTACTAGTACAATAAAAGTGTACGAATATACAAAATATTACATAAAATAAATAGTGTATGAATATGAAATGCAATGTACTTATTTTACTTAGATTAATAGAATTTTTGTTATGAATTGATGAAGAATAAAATAAATAGGTTGAGTTATAATTTGAAATAATTCAATATATATTATTAAAATAAAGATTGTTTACAAAAATGTGACTAGTGACTAAAATAATAATGGAGGCGTAGTAACTTAGATTCAAATTTTAAACATAAGTTACAATGACACAACATTGTAGTAACTAATAGTCATATTTATGTAAATAAGTTTTATTTTAGTAATAGTTTTGAAAAACCCTTATAATTTAAGTTCGAGATAAATACTAGCTCTTTTTTTAAGTAAAGAAAAAAATAAATAAGTCAAGAAAAAAAGAACAAAGCATTTTTAGGAGGAGGTGAAAGTGTGAAACCGTGAAAGGAATACTCGTCCTATTAGAAAGAAACTTTATTTTGTTTTAAGCTTCAAGGAGTTATTCTTTTTATTAGTTGCAAACTTGGTAATTTTATGTTATTCACATGTTTTACGTACTATGATTACATTTACTCCAAATTTACTAATGTATGAGACTTATTTCTTTGTGAGAACTACTAAATAAGCCCTCGAACTTTCATAAAAAGTACAAATAAGTCCGGCTCTGTCCGGCCATCGCCATTTGGGGAGGTTTCCGGTGGAATTGTTTGATGAAATTTTTTGAACATCTTCTTCATTAATTCTAGTTTACTCATACCAAATTTCAGCTAAAAATTCAACCGGGAAGTCAGTCAAATGAATTTTTGAAGACAACTGCGCAGTTAGGCAGCACATTATATTTCAGAAAATCATTTGACTGTCTTCTCTATTGCATTTTTTGCTGAAATTTGGAATGGCTAAACTAGACTTAACGAAAAATATGATCAAAAAATTTCATCAAAAAAATTCCAGAGGAAACAGCCCAAATGACGTCAGCCAGACAAAGCCTCATGTAAAAGAGCTTATTTGCACTTTTATGAAAATTCGAGGGCTTATTTGATAGTTGTCCCTATTTCTTTTGAAAAATATGTTTGAATATATCACGTTACAAATTTTCATGATCTATTTTTATTTTATTTTTATTAATATAGAATTAAATATAATAACAATTAATATTATGCTTTAGCAAGCGTCTAAGGGACTGTCCCCAATATAGATTTTAAAGGATTTTTACAGATTGTAAATCCATGGACCGTAATAAAATTCCAGAGATTCTATGAGATTTTGATGGAATATTATAGAATTCTTTTTTTTTGAAAGGAGAAAACTTATTTATCAATAATGAAAGTAACAAGAGGTAAAACAACATAATAGCTCAATAGCTACCCTGGGATGAAACATAAAATTGATTAGTCCTGGAGGACCAATCATATTCGCTAACCCCGCAAAGAAGTAGGCTAATCTAACACCATTACTAACCTTGCTACTAAAATAGAGAGTAATTAAACGAGAGTTCTTAGAATAAAAGCGATAAAATAAATCAAGTCTCCCGGATTTACCAGCCACCAGGTAGGGAGGAAATATTTGATCAGTCACCTCCAAAGAAATCAACCCGATTTTATCAGCCACCGAAAAGGGAGAAGAAGTTTAATTTTCCCAACCACCTGCAAAGGAACCACCTTACTCTCAAGGCCTAGTAGTATTATAGGCGGTGCTGATCCAGTAGCACCATCGTTGATCCGTTTTTGTCCCATTGTCATCAACCTCCATATGAACTTGCACATCCACCAGATTCTGCAGGTCCACTACTCTACGTTTCCTTGATTCTACTTTCTCAAGGGCTGTAGCTTGGTTCTGCTCTTCCTCAGCTCCCATCTTTTCTTTTACTTTCGAAATAAGTCTCTGGATCAAGTAACAACCGCCTTTGTTGCCTTCTCTTGTATTCCTATATCAGCTATCCATCTTTCTCTGTATCTTCCCTTACACTTGATGACTCTTGCCTTTCATGTGGAATAAGCCATTTATTTCCCGGATGAATTCCTCCACGACGCATATCTTCCCTCAACCAAGGCTTATAAGGCTTCTCTCCCACCCACGGTCCCGAACTAGTAATAGATGGGCAATATCAGTCAGTGTGTCCCAACACTCCACAAATAAAACAAAGATTGGGAAGCCGCTCATATTGAAATACGCCTAGAAAGAGTTATCCCCTTCTTCTCTGACTTGTGTCCTTCGTTTCAACGCATTCTTGATATTTATCGACATCCGAATGCGAACATACTCCTTGCTTTCTCCTTTTAGAGTTCTACCATCAATCTGGACCAGTTTCCCAAAATAACGCCCAATACCTGTGGCTACCTTCTCCGTCATATAGCTCAGGGGGTAAATTATGGGTCTAACCGAGAATTCTGCATAATTCAGCGCTACCTCAAGCGGTCTCTCTTTCGCTTCTACCCTTCGGATAACTACTAGATTCTGATCAAACGACCACAATCCATCCTGTAATATTCGAGAGCAATCATTTTCATGATAAAATTGGATCATGAACCGCATAACTCTGATCTGTTCAATACTCACTCCTTTACTCAGGCGCCATATCATTGTAGTCTCGCGAAAGGAGATAGGCTGGACAAGTTTGTCCGTTACAACCCTAGCCACGGATGTGAAACATGGGTTGTCCCCATCCCCATTCTAATAATATATATAATAAAAATATTACGTATAAAATATTAATAAATGTGTTTGGTGAAATGTGGGGGGAGTTGGCGACGTATAAGCATGGGCTTTGTCGCTTTGATGAATCCGATCCAATCCAATCTAAATTAAGTGTAGGTAATTCTCACTACTACACCTATCATGTAGCAAGACACAAATTACATTATCTCCTAACTAACCAGATTTTGGCAGGAGCATTCCTTCACTCATCGAGAGAAAGAACGGACTACTCTGTTTCTTGTGGCCTCAATTTCACCCCAAAAATTACTGTACAAGAATTCAAGAATGGAAGCAAAGAAGGAAGTTCAAAGTCCCAATAAACCGTCCATTCCTTGGCGGACCCGTATCTCGTTTTCCATTATCTCAGCCGTCACTGACGCCACTCGCCGCCAAAACGGCACCGTCAATCGCCGCCTCCTCAACATACTCAGCATCAAGTCTCCCGCCACCCGGAACCACGTCAACGGCGTCAAGTCCTCCGATGTCACCGTCGACCCTGCCCGCGATCTCTGGTTCCGCCTCTTTGTCCCCACCGCCGCCGAAGCCCGGGATTCCAATTCCCTGCCGGTAATCGTCTTCTTCCACGGCGGCGGATTTGTGTACCTCAGCGCCGATGCCAAAGCGTACGATGCCGTTTGCCGCCGATTTGCGAGAAAGGTCCCGGCGGTCGTCATCTCTGTTAACTATCGACTCGCGCCTGAGCACCGATGTCCTGCTCAGTACGATGATGGCTTCGATGTGCTGAAGTTTCTCGATAATGAAAAGAACAAGGGGATTTTGCCGGAAAATGCTGACGTTTCCCGCTGCTTCCTTGCCGGCGATAGTGCCGGAGGGAATCTGGCTCACAACGTGGCAAAACGAGCGTCAGAGGCCAGTTTCCGAGACGTTAAGGTAATTAATTAAGTAATTAATTAATTAATAATACAGTTATCGCACCGAAAAATAATACGGAGTAAATGATTTTACAATGACACCAATAATGCATAATGTGCAAGGCAATAGGAATTTTACGTCTTTATAGTCCATTGTTATTTCATAATAAGTAGGATTAGAATTATTTTACTCCGTATTTAAGGAAATTACCTTTGCTAGTATTATACTCCCTCCATCCCAAAAACAATTTCACACTTCGTTTTCCACACATATTAAAGAAATAAACTTACCGGGTTATTGACATTGTTAGGACATTGTTTGGACACTGTTTAACACTGTTTGACACTGTTTTGATGTAGATAATTTGCCAAAAAAGAAAGTGGGAATAAATGTAAAGTTAATTTTGGGACATCCATTTAAGGAAAGTGGGAATTTGTGTTTGGGCCGGAGGGAGTAATATGGTTCGTGAATAATACAATAATACGTACGTTTGTGTATATTACTGCATAATACGATACAATTATATAAAATACAGATAAATATGTATTTAATACATTCGTGAAATGGATAAAGATATGAACGTGTTTTAAACGCTTCACAATTTAAAAATATGGCGTATAATACTATAATATGTGTCTTATATACTTCATACTAATTTAATGATAGAAATAAAGAGTAATTTAACATATGCACCGTATTTTTCAACAATTTAAAATATACTCCCCATGTCCCTTATAACTTTGTCAATTTTCCGTTTTTTATTGTCCCAAAAACTTTGCCACTTTCCCTTTTACTCAATTAATTTGTGGCTCATATTATTTCTCTCCTTTGAACAAATCTCTACCACACAGTTTTTACTTTATTATTCTACGTGCCGGTCAAACTTGCTAATTCTTTTAGGGATGTAGGGAGTACAAATATTTTTTTTAGATATACGAATGTGAATTCATAGGTGTTGGTCTCGTTCACACAAGGAACAGTCTAGAGGGGGGTGAATAGACTGTTCTGATCTTTTAAAACTTTACTCTAAGTCTTTACAGACTTGACAGAGAAGGTCGAGTTCTGGTGGCAGAACTGGGCCTGACAACGGATGTACTCTGGTAGGTGTTCTGGTCGGGTAGCCTGCAGAAACACACTAAGGCAAGTGCCTTTCTGATAACTCTTAAGACAAGATTTGCTGAGCACAAAGTCCAAGTCTATGAGAGTTATTCAGTTCAATCTAAGTGCAGAAGGTAAAGAACGTAAAGTAAATGACATTGGGAGTTTTTATAGTGGTTCAAGAAACAACGTGTTCCTCTAGTCCACTGTTCCATTAAGCTTGTAAAACAACAGTTACAACGCCTTAGTCCTAGCACTTAAGAAGCACTCATCGTCTTCTTCGAGTCTAGTTGTCACCCGAGATGCTCTTCTTGGCTTCCTGATGACTGGTCTCGTTTCATTGAGTATCCACGAAGTATCACCATTTCACCATTCCAGTTACTTTGAGACGTCCATTCTTTTGCAAGAAGTGTTTGGCTTTAAGAACAGTTTTTCCAACGTAGCTTCGTCACAAAAGATGTATAGTTGAAGCTTTAGAAGAGTTGAAGAACTGGAGGGACAATTCTTTCTCGTTGGAATGAAAAGATATAGAGTTAATGATCTTTTCCAACGCAAGCTTTTTCTCTTGTTCAGAGTTTGAAGCTTGCTTGTTAGAGAGTGTGAATTGTTTGAATCATTATTCTTCCAATCCTTCGAAGTGTATCATATATACTGAAAGATGTCTTCCCGTTGGAGTGTAGAGGACATCTTCATTAAATGCGTGTACTATTGATTTGACCGGTTGATTTCCAAAAATTAGCTGACTTGCTATTTTGGAGGCGCGAAAATTTTTCTCTGGTCAATCATCATCTTTAAATATCCCAATGAGTGAAGCACATTAAATGAGCATTTAATGTGTGAACAATAGCTTCTTCCGTTGAGAGGCTCCAAGCCGTTAGGGAATTTCCCGTTAGTTTTGACCGACATAGGCAGAGTAAGGGAATTTGTCCAAGTGTCGAGCCTTTCTGGTGGAGCCAATGATACCAATTCTGTTGGGATCACAAACTACGTTCTTAGGTGCATTTGGCCGAGACAGAAACGTTGAGGTTCTCTGGTCCGTCGACTATGCTAAAAACTTACACTTAGAACAATTCTAATACTACCTCCGTTTTTAAATAAATGCAACACTTTGACTTTTACACTATTCACATGTTCTACTTTGATTACGTTTTATTTATTAATGTAATAATATTATTTTATGAAAAAAATATTGTTAAACTTTTCTCATTGTAAATTTTCATAATCTAATTTTTTTAATTTTTTTACTAATACAAAATCATTTAAGAACGAAGGAAGTACAAGATTTCTAATAGGGGTACTCTAATATCCTAATTGAGCTAACATCATCAAAATCTAAATACAATTTATTACTTACAATTTTCCTCTTTTGATGATGTTAAGAACTTCCAGAGAAATGCCTTTCACCATAAAAGAATTAAGTTTAAAAATTTTTATTAAAAAAAATCTTGGTGGACCACTTGTATCGGAAAGCAGTAAGAGTTGCAATACAGAAAAGCAAATTAACAGAAATGCAGAAAAGACAGATAAAACAGAGAGGCACGTTAGTAACAGAAAGTCAAGACAGAGAAGCTTTATAAAGGAGAGTCAGTAAGAGCACAGAAAAGAGTCGAGTAAAGATTATTTAAAGCTCTTCTACTCTTTCCTCAGTTTCACGAAATTCTTTGAGCTTTTTGAGTACTTCGGCTCTTATAGCAGCCAGATTTCTGGGTTTCCATAGTCAGCCCATGTCTCCCTCCGTCCCGCTAGAAGGTTCCCATGAACGATTTACGATGCTTGACTGACGATAAAACAACTTAATCCCTGTTCACACTCTGATTAGTTTTAGTAAATAAAATTAATATATTCAGAAACTACATTAAAACCACTACAAAGGCTGATAAAAAAATGTAAATTTGATAAAAATTTGATTGATAAAGTAAACGATTAAAAATGATTTAAGTTGACCATGCAAATAGTGGACGAGAACCTTCTAATGGGACGGATGTATTATTATTATTATTATTATTACTATTATTATTATTATTATTATTATTATTATTAAACATTTCGCTTCAATTGTACCACTTTGTTAGGCTTCAGTTAAATGACGTATTTTTTAATAAAATACGTATCCATACGTACGACACATGTATCCTTGAAGTACGTGATTTTTTCTGATTTTTCTGAAAAATTTTCATAAACATAATTATTATATGTGAATTATACATTTGAGTGTATTATACATGAATTATACACGAATCAACTAACAAAGGAAATGACACATTCTCTTCTTTAAAAAAACCCTCATTCACTTCTATTTTGAAAGTAATAAAAAAGATGAAACAAATCTTATCTTATTTAAGAAATAAAACATCTTTAAGTTTATTTTTGAATCATTCATCATTTATTCCTTTCAAAAACTTATCCATGATTTATTAAGAATTAAAAAAATCTTATTTAAGGAATAACATACGGAGTATACAGGGGCGGATCCAGGATCGAGAGATGGGGTGGGCTAAGCAGAAATATTTTTTTTACTATACATACCAAATTTAGCCCATGGTTGTTATCGAACAAAGATTTTTTTTGAATTATATACTCGAGTTCGAACTTGATTTCGAATCTAATTTAATGAATTGAGTAACAAGTTTCGAACTCGAACACGGAGTAGGTTTTGAGTTTGAATAATTATTCAAGCCGAGATCGAACATAGTGATGTTTCGATCCGAACACGAGCCTATCGTTCACATATAAATTATACTATTGTACATATCATAAAATTTAAACGTTTTAGTGTAATTTTTATAAATTTATTAATGATTAATAAAAATTTGAATACTTATTGAATAATTTGAACATGAATCTATTAACGAGAATAGTCTAAACTTCTACATTCGAGCATGTCTATCGAGCATTGAAATCCAAATTTGAGATAGTTTGGATTTCAGGGACTACAACATGTGGAGGATCCTCATTGATTAGATTTTGCACTGTTGTAGGTATAGGTTCAGAACTCCCTTCACCAGTTTGACGATTCACTTTCGAAAAGAATAATGAAATCAACTTCTTTCCCTTCTTGGCAACATGTTCATTATCCATTCTAAAAAACATTTTCAATATTGGTATATATTAAAATACTTATATATAAAAAATAAAACTATTTAATTATGTACTGAAAAATTCAATTAATAATCAAAACGATTGTATGATTCCCTAGCCCTAAAACTCTAAAATGCTAAAAATAATAATAATTAATACATTAATAGTTTAATACACAATCGGTTATTCACAGTTTACAAATTCACGGCAGAAGATCATAACTTCACTGATTCACAAATTATTTGTGGTGTAGACTGACAAATAATTTAGGCTGGGCTGAGATTTGAAAATGTACCAATACTATTAAAAAAAAATTGGGCTGGGCTGAAGCCCACCCCTGGCCTAGCATACATCCGCCCCTGGGAGTATATATATACTACGTATATACTACACTACGTAGTACATACCCGGTAGTATTCATTTTGAATATTCATGATTTACTACACTCTATCACGTATACAATTATTTAGTACGGACCTTTCCGAGGCGCCCTGATTTCAATGGGAATAATTTGAGTGTAGTTATATAGAGTCTGATGCCATGATTATTAATACCAAAATTTGTTGGTGTACACAGAAATTGCATACTTTTTGTAAACGAGCTTTCTGTATATAGAGACGATCAAGGGGTGTATGCAAAAATTGTACACTTTTTGTGTACACTTAAAGAATATTTTTGCCTTTTGTGTTAATAACAATATCATAAGTGGGTCATACATATAAAACACAAGACACATTAAAAGTTGGATAAAGGGTACTACCTCTTTCCCTCTTTATGTATCTTAATTTGATGAGTTTTTTTTCCGAATTAATGCTAATTAATTAATTAATTACGAAAATAAT